ACTTGACATGTATACTATATCATTATGGGGTTATTACACTATCATAATATAGGTGTAGATTAATACATAATCTTATATATAAAATTCTCGTGTAACAGGTTTCGTTCCCATACTCTTTCGAAACGGCTTGACCGATTCTCATGAAATTTCGTGAGCGTATTGAGTAGACCTGAGAATCGGCCAACATCTATTTTTCATCCCCCTAAATGTTAGGGGTAGTCCACCCCTAAATTTTTTTTTTAATTTTTTAGACAATATTTTTAGTTTCTATTTTTTTATGATACAACATACAAAAATACATACAATCCTAAATTTTCACCCTTCTATCATCAACCCCTATTTTTTTATTTTATTTTTATAGCGTTATTAATTTATATGGCAAAACAACGTTTGCCGGAACAGCTAGTCTATTTATAAAGCTATCAATGCTAAAAGTACGTTAAATGTTTTGCAATCAGTTTTAAAAAAAGATTAATACATTTTTATGTAAGAAAAAAATATACAACTTTTTACATAGAACTTTTATTGTACAAAAATATTAATGGACAATAAAAATAGGAATATTTACAAACATTTTTTTTATGTTATAAGTTTCTTATCTGTTGATCTAGTAACAGATTGTTCATTTAATGTGCCAAGTATAAATATTTATTATTCTTTTCTTTATTTCTTTGTTTCCTGTATTTACAATTGTAATATTTAATATAATATAATTATACTAAACCACACCAATCATAAAATAGTATGCTAATATTACGTTCTCATGTTAACAAATATAATTATGATAGTGTACTAATCCCATAACTCACACAACGATTTAAAACAGAACTTATAAAGTATGAAATTATAATTTATACCTTTCAGTTCAATTATTACATAATATATATTATTAAATAGTGAGGTGTATTATTATTAATAATTATTATTATTTTCTTTTTTTACTGTTACGTAATATTATCTTATCTGTGCTGTTAGTATCTGTACTGATCTGTCTATATTATACCTCTAGTCACCCCTTATGACATTTTGGGAATTAATAAAACTGGTAACTATATGAATCCCATACTGCAAATGTATTACCCCAATAATAGTACCATATTACCCAATAACAGACAAATGCTACCTAAAATACCAGACTTTACATCAAAAACAAAAAAACTTTTCAAAAATTCATTCATAACCCATATATTTATTAACATAGAAAGTTGATAATTGGTTAAATACATAACAATTTTCAACTTTCTATCTCAATAAATATTTGAGAATATGAATTATTGAAATAAAAAAATTATAAAGGTGTTTTGTGAAATTGGATATTTCAAGTTACGACAATTCAATTTTCTTCCGTCGATATATTGAGTCAGATTGCTATTTGAAATAAGTTTCTGTTATTTTAAATATTAACAATATAAAATGTATCAGCATGTGTCAAGACGCAATAGAATCATTATGTACCTATTTGTAAATGATGTTAGCTTAGACTTTAGGAACATTGTTTATATCTTCAGAAAATAGCAAAACGCTTGTGTTTTTAACCATATCATACAGTGACATTATTAATAACTATAAAAAAACATGTAATATATTATATTAAATGAAATACTTATTTGTACTCACACTTCTGATGTAACCATAACGTTGTTTTTTAATATAAACGTATGTTTTTCTTCTTTTATTAATTATATGAATAAATGGCAAGTTAAAAAGCTAATTTTTGTACTAAATGCTTATTAAAACACAACGTTATATATTTCGTTTTACGTTTTATTTTGTTAACAAACATTATTTTTATTTTATTAGACCAAAGCTCAATTTTTTTTTAATTTATTGAATAGGTATGATAATCGTGTAATTAGTAATGTACAGGTGACATAAAATAATATAATAGATGTATATAATGATTGCGTGTTAGGTCGGTTTGTGTGTACATTTTATCATTAAGCTTAGTACCTAAAACTTTATCAATAAAATAATTTTATCTATTTTCAATCTGCCGTTTTCTTATCGATAATGTGATTAATACAACACAGATATTTTTCAAACTTGTCCGAGTAGGTATACCAATGTACGCGCACGAAATAATACATCTGGCCAAAGTTTAAATACGTAGCATAGATACAATAGATACCCACAGAACTGTAGATTTTTTTATATAATTAGAATGACAAACAAACTGACGATCCACCTTATGGTAATGAATGGTGCACCCGTCGGTATACACTGTCGGGGCACCAGTGGAGGATCATAAGATGATCATGGTCAAATCAGTTAGCCCATCGTGCGAAATGCACTAGAAATTTATCATGATGGTTTCCAGAAACCGCGTGGAGGACAACCTGAAATGATACTTTACTAATGGGGTCAACACTGGGGGGAAAGTGGTAATGTGGCGTCATAACCCCATTACCAGCAAGGTTAGGTTGACCGCCACGCGGTTTCCCTGGAAATCATCGTGATAAATTCCTGGTGAAATTGTCACAATGGGCTAACTGACCTGACCTCATGCTCATATTATCATCCTCCACTGGTGCTCCGCCAGCGTAAACCCTTAGCGCAGGCGGGCGTACCATTCCATTGTCATCCATAAAAAAAATGGGGTCATCAATCCCCATAACCCTAGCGGTAACCGTTACATATGCACAAGATCAAAACTACAGATATCACATTATCATGTGACAACAGTGATACAACTCGTTGACATTCCAGGGGACTAAGATATCTTATCCTGTAATTTCACAATATAATCTGTCTACACCCGAAACACAGCAACAAAGTAAGCTGCTTGAAGCTGCTTGACGGCTAAAATAGGTGAGATTGGTAGGTGGTACCCACGTAGGTTTTTACTTCTTACAGTTTACGATTGTTTACCACTGATGGTTGTAACTACTAACTATACTTTTTTTATGGGTGATAATGGAATGGTGCACCCGCCTGCGCTAACGATTTACGCTGGCGGGGCTCCAGTGGAGGATGATAAGATGAGCATGAGGTCAGGTCAGTTAGCCCATCGTGACAACCACACCACGAACTTACCACGATGGTTTCCAGGGGGAACCGCGTGGAGGTCGACCTGACATTGTACATTGCTAGCAATGGGGTTATCAATCCACATCACTAACAATCCCTTTTACTCCATTAACTATACTTTTTTTTTTTTTTCAAATGATACTGGAATGGTGCATTCGCCTGCGCTAACGGTTTACGCTGGCGGGGCACCAGTGGAGGATGATAAGATGAACATGAGGTCAAATCAGTTAGCCCAACGTGACAAATTCACCGGAATGTATCACGATGGTTTCCAGGGGGAACCGCGTGGAGATCGATCTGACATGGTACATTGCTAGCAATGGGAACATTAGTCCACATTACTAACAATCCCCTTCCCCCCAGTAACTATACTAGTATATAGTATTGTAAAGTGAGAAAGCGGTCTTTGTTACTAAGAAAGCCTAGCCTAGCCTAGCAAGTATCATCAGATACGGGCTAAGAAGATAAAGACGAAAATACTGAATAAATGAGAGCATCGCCCAATTAGTTTTATATCCTGATTTGTACACAACAAAGATTTTCAGATCTAACCAATACCAAACACTTGGTATTTTAATTAGCTCTCCGACGTAAAGAAAGCAGTAAAAAAAATCAATGAGGCCCTCACTCACATTGGATTCAAATATTCTCACGGATACATAAACCTCAGTAACAAATATTCTCACCGATTCATAACAGGTGGGTACTTAGACATGTACCTACCAATCACTAGCCTGATTACCTACTGAACTTAACTTGTTCTATTGACAAAAATCGTAAAACATTACTACTCAACCTTATATTACCATTCTACTATTTGTTCAGGATCTGGTTAAGTAGCGCCATCTTGTAACTGGCGATAGATTTAAAATTAAAATCACTTGCTTTTCTTGTCGTTATTTTTCAAAATAATGTATTCTTGATAGAAAGTATATACAGTTTGCATTCGACATATTTTTGAAATTGTATTGATAAATTGTCAATACAATTCTGTTAAAAATATTTCTATAAAATTATGAGGCGATTAGCACCTATAATATTTTGCACTTAGTAGTTTACAATAGAAATTATAGGTGGCGCTGTAACTAATTTTTATAATTCTATAAAAATATGTAATAAACTGTACTTTAAATAGGGATCGATTTCTTCTTGAAAATAAGATGTGTATTATTATTTTATTTACAAAATTTTTTATTATTATACAAATATAAACAATTTTTATTCAAATGAACTGAATATATAAACAACCATTTTGAATACTAATTTTCTTTATTTTGCGACCTCTCATTCGGAAAGCCGATTCAGCCAAGAGGAATGGGCAAGAACCTGGCTTCATAATGCGCTTTTTTAAACAATGTTGTACATCTTCAGTGTAATGTTAATTTTCCATTAAGCTTCTGGAATTCTATAATGCAGTTTATCTAGCAAACAACGCTCGTGCAGCATCATTCCAAGGTAAGAGGACGGCTTACCTCCTCGAGTAGTCCAGGTACCGTGTCTCCTTTAGTAACCTTCCTTCGTCATTTAGTAACCTTTTATACACCAAATACAGTAAAAGCTTTTGTTATTAGCTAATAAGGCCAATCTCCCATCCTGCCCTTAGTTAATACGCCTATAAATATACTATTGCAGAGCAGAAGAATAGCAGAGAGGGTGGACTCACTGCCCCCTCTGAGTTATAGACCGTTTTGTCTCATTCATTACTTTTAAATTTTATTAATGTATAAGCAATTGTATTAGTTTTTATTAGAGATAAATAAAGATAATTATTATTATAGAAGTCTTTGAAGGTTCTCCTGGTATAAAAAATCGAGAAAATTTAGGTAGATTACTTTTATATATAATATTATATAAACAGGTATATAAATGAGTAAACAAAATAAACGAAAGAACTTATTTAAACAATCACAAATCTATTGATTTCATATTACATAGATTATTCACATAAAATTAAACAAATAATACTCAGTAAATAGTAAATTTAAAAATATAAAAGTTCTTATGCTTAAAATAAATACCTACTCAAACATTTACAAACAAAATATATTTATTTAAAATAACTTAATCTTCTATTTAACAATTTCGAATTTGAAGCCATTCTTATGTAATTGTTCAATAAGAGTGGTGTTACTAAAAGCTGCCCCAGTTGTTAGAACTCCGCCTCTGAAACCAGGAGTTTTTATGTTGAACAATGTAGTGACGGTAGATGAAAAAACTGCTGAAATCGCTAGTAATCGCTGAGTGACATTAGCTTCCGATTGAATTATCGCTATAGGATAATGGACTATGTAGTTTGACAAGATTGAATAAGATAAAAATGAATACATTTGAGGAAGTAATTTTTTTTCAGACTACTCTAATGCTGTTGGCCGCAGGTGGCCTTTACAGCTTCACCGGACGATAGGGGGCGAGTGCAGATGGCACTCCAACACGCCGAAGGACTTATGGAGCGGCTGAAGGCCAACTCCCACCTGACGGATACGACTTTAGTCTGAGGGCACAGCTAGTGGTTCGAACCTCAGCTCAGGGTGTCGTAATTTCGATACCCGTTTGAATTAGACCCCCCGTCTAATTCAAACGGGTATATCGATCGGAGGGACGGTTTTTAGAGTATGAGAATTAATTCATAAGTTGTTTCTATTGGTTAAAATCTTCACAATATTAGTCTTTTTATTATTATATAACATTTTATTTTAATACTAGATGCACCCGCGATTTCGTCCGTATGGAACTTTATTTTTTCATATGCATGTAGTAAAAACGGTTATTTCAATATTACAAACAGACACTCCAATGTATAGGTTATGTAAACTGGTAAGTATGATGAAAGGTTTCTATCGAAGAGTTGGGGCAAATTCATCACATACTCTGTCATACTCACTTGGGCATTTTATGCTGTTCCCATAGGATAGTAAGAGCGCTATGTAATACTCCAAGAACTGTAGCTCCGTACCCAGGATTCACTCCTGATATCTACAAACAGAAACTAGACTTGTATTAACTGTAGGATCAAATTAATTTCTTATTTAATAGCCCAGAGATCTCCCTGGAAATATACTTATGTAAGTTATTGACGCTATTTAAACCTTTACAGAAAAGACAATTTTTTTTAAATTAAATATTTGATCTACATATATTACTTAATTGATATGATGGGAAGGGAAAAAACATTACATATACCCCAAATAAATGGGATAAGGAAGAAGCAGATGATGATGATCACTTAATTGATATAAGGAAATTAAAAAAAATCTGCTAATTTGATTACTTGTATTTTAAAAACACATGCAAAGCCGAAAGTTATAGCTAGTGCTAACAAAACTTATATATATACTAATACTGGCTATCCCGGCAAACATTATTTTACTATATAAATTAATAACACTATTAAAAAATAGGGGTTGATGGTAGAAGGGAGTATATATTTAGTGTTGTATATATTTTTATGCCGAATCATAAAAAAGGTATCTGAAATATAAAATAGAATTTGGCACCCTTAACACTTAGGGGTATAAAGAACAGATAACGGACCTAGCGAGTATACATATAAAACTTCAACAAAATCGGTTAAGTCATTACGGACATGTATCGCAACTATCACTGTGACAGGAGAATGAACGAATGAATGAATGAATGAAACTCTTTATTATTTCCTCTCGCTCAAGACAAAGACAGTAACAATGGGCGGCCTTATCGCAAAAAACAATTTTATATACATTAGAGAGATATTTACAGTCCAACAAAATTCAACTGTAAATCTCAATTTCAAAATATCTTTATTCATATAGGTCATATTACAGACTCTTATGTTATGTCAAATTTACAGTAAGTTCTGGTAAAGTTATTTATGGTAGACTAGCTTTTTCCCGCGGCTTCGCTCACGTTAATTTATCCCCTTAGGGATGGAATTAATCAAAATCCTTTCTTAAGGGATGTCTACGTCATAGTAGCTTTATGCAAGCAAAATCTCAGCCCGATCGCTTTTAAAATTGACGAAGTTTCATACAAACTTTCATCCCCTATTTTATCCCTTTGTGGGTAGAATTAATCAAAATCCTTTCTTAGCGGATGCCTACGTCATAACATCTACCTGCATGCCAAATTTCAGCCCGATCCGTTTAGTAGTTTGGGCTGTGCGTTGATAGATCACTATGTCAGTTACCTTTGAGTTACATATATATATATATAGATATAAATACTAACCCTTGCAACCATGGTCTTGTTCATCGGCGTGCGTTTTGTGTCTACCCCTTTCTCCCACCCTTTTCCGACCAGTTCCACTCGAAAATGGCAATTGTTTATCACGTCTTCACTGGGCCCTTCCTTTGTAAACATTCCAGCAGAAAAGAAACTAGGATAATTTATTACTAGATTCCTCGTGATGGAAACCATTGACATCACGAATAAGAAAGCCGCAGCAATAGCGAACAGTAAAGTATTCAGCAGGCTTCTCGTCTTGTAGTACACCTTAAAATAAATAAAAATTAAATAATTAATCCAAGATGGCGCTGTGTAATATGCCTTGTAATATTATCATTATATTGGCTCAGCTTTTGCTGGCTTGTTACGCTTATCGTTTTTATTAATCTATACATTTAAATAAAATTGGAGTGACTATAATTGAAATAACACGGTACATACACCAATATTACATTTTTTACAATTTTTGTCTGTCTGTTTGTTCCGGCTAATCTCTGAAATGGCTGGATCGATTTTGACAGGACTTTTATTGGTAGGTAGGAGATGTAATAAGGGGTAACTTAGACTACCTTTATTTTAGAAAAAATATCTTATTTTAGAAAAATAAACTTAAATTCAACGCGGTCGAAGTCGCGTGTATAGCTTGTCTATTATATAAATATATAAATATCTATAAATTCTTCAAAATTACTCTCCACAACGCTCTCTGCAATATCACTACAAAGTATGAAACAATGTCGCTGTCACTGTCTGTTTCTATGTATGCTTAAATCTTTAAAACTACGCAACGTATTTTTGAAGCGGTTTTTTTAAATAGATAGAATGATTCAAGAGGGCGGTTTATATGTATAATACATGCATAATATTCTAGAGAAACATTGATAAATTTAGAAAGGAGAGTGATTTCGTAAATAAACACATTTTTGCGCTTACATTGCAAATTCTGGCTAAAACCCACGAGATAAATCAAAATAATGTACAACAGTATTGTACATCTTAAAAATGAAAGCAAAAAAATGAAAAATCCAACGAAAGAGAATTATTAAACTACCGACCTCCGTATTTATATGTAGACCGAATTCAGTGTACTAGTTCGGTCTATAAATACTAGATGGCGCTATTTGCTATATTTGTAATAATCTTTTTATTAGGTACTACATTAGTACTAAACACAAACTACCTTCTTTTAATATATTTTTACAATATCCGATTTTTTCTACAATATTGATGTGAACTCTAACATAGTGTAATAATTGTATTGATAATACCTCGAATTGCACCGGCCTCTCCCCGTCAAAATACGACCGATGTTGAGTACGGTACACTACGAACTTGTCAGCTCCTAAGAAAGGCACGTACCAATCCTTGTTATGTTTGTGCAGAGGGCCCCTGTAAAGATGAAATTATTAATAAATAATATATAATAACTCGCGACCATCGAGGCTGTCTAATAAGACAGCCTCGATGGTCGCGAGTTTGATTCCTCGAACATTTGTATTCATGAGTATGTTTGTTTGTACCGGTCTGGCTGTTTTCTATGTATATTATGTATGTATTTACAAAATTAAATATTTAAGTATTAGAATAGAATAGAATAGAAATCATTTATTCAAATAAACTTAATTTAAGCACTTTTGAATAGTCATAACAATTTGTTTTTTAACTACCACTCGTTCGGAAAGAAGAAACTTGTGTGTTGCTCTTTTAAATAATCCTTGTAAGTTTACATTTACAAGTCGAAATGTGTAAATACAAACTACCAACCAGCACAATATTTTTGGGTCAAATATAAATATACAATAAGATTAAATCAGTCGTAGTGATAAGAGCAGACCAGTCCCTACAAGCAGCACTCGTTCACGAGTATGACGGATGTGCCAGCCATCACTGCACTCGACCATATTTTAGGGAGCCCAATGACCCAAAATTATATATTTTTATACATATCAGTTGTCTAGTACCTATAACACATGCTTATCGTGGGACTAGATGGCGCTGTGTTAATTGTCTAGCGTTATATATTTACTATTATTATGTAATATTATATTATCTGTGCTATTATTAACATTGGACCTTTCGACCTCCAGTGTGCGTTATATTTTTATCACTATCCTATAGCTACTTGAGATGAACTTGAAAGAAACTCAGTTGAGTTTCTTTGTTGGTGTAATATATTTACATTGGGGGAAAGAGGGTTGTTAGTAATGTGGATTAATAACCCTATTGCTGTCAATGTAACAACGATGTGCTACCTAACCTGACCTCATGCTCATCTCCTCATCATCCTCCACTGGTACCCCGCCAGCGTAAACCGTTAGCGCAGGACAGTGCTCCATTCACAAGCTCTGCTTAGTTCGTCTAGATGACGCTATGTGAATTGTCCTGGGTTATTAATGTAATAGATGTGAGAAAGAGAAGGTGGTATCATGTCGTCTCTAGCGCACACTGCTGGCGTCATGAGGACATTAAGCTGTGACCGACGAGTGAGAACAGTGGTGTGTGTGTCTTGAGAACCGATAATTAAGAAGACAAACAGTACAATTATAATTTATTTATAACACTTACCGTAACTGCAGTTCCGGTTCAAACTTAAGCATTTTCTCAGGGAATAGCTGTTTTCGTAATGATAACAACTTTAATTGATCCGAAAATCTGCAAAAATGAAATAAAACAATGAAAAACCTTATATAATTTATTAAAACCTTATGTATTTTTGTAAACTAGTACAAGCTCATTTGAAAAGCTGAGAAGAACTGACAAGAAGCTAAACTTTATTAGTTTAGCTTCTTGTCAGTTCTTCTCAGCTCGAAAGCACTCTGAACTGACGGTAGATTTAACATATCATAAGTCTGTAATAGACCTTGTTAATTTGTTTTTTGTAAAGGAAGAGTGTTTTAAAATGAAACTGTGACCTCTCCTCATGAAGCGTTTATTGCAACAACTTAACGTTTTTGAAATTACATAGGGGTGGAGTATCCACCCTTTTTATTGGTGCTCATATGTGTCGCGTGATGAGCGGTGCTTCTCACTGGTCGATTGACTGATGCCGTCATCGACGCTAGATTTGACGTCGACCAGTGGTGGTTGAGGATGGCGCCTGTGACTTTGAGCATTATACTACTCACAGCAGATTTGCTACTACTGTTTTAACATGCCCCCGGCCTTGGAAGGTTCCACTTTCAATTCTTCGTTCCAAAGAGGGCATATTTTAGAGAATGCCCGCCTAACGATGCCGGTCTCCGTCCTTATGTCGGCGACTCTTGATACCCCGTCTTTGCCCGGGAGAGTGGAAATGATGCGTCCTAAACGCCACTTTAATGAAGGTAAGTGGTCGTCCTTGATGAGCACTAAGGTGTTTGGCTTCAGGTCTGCTTGGCGAGTTTTCCATTTGTTCCTTATTTGCATCTCAGATATATATTCTTTGGACCACCTTGTCCAAAAATGTTGGCGTATTTGTTCTACCCGTTGATATCGTGTCAAGTTTGATGGCGTGAAGTCTTGAACATCAGAGCACGGCGGCGCAGTCAGCGGACGACCGACCAAGAAATGAGCTGGGCTTAAGGGATAATAGTCATGAGGATCTGTGGACATAGGACTAAGTGGACGGGAGTTCAAAACAGCTTCGACCTGTGTTAATACCGTATTGAACTCTTCATATGTTAAATGCAAGTTACCGACTACGCGTCGCAATACATTCTTGCATGAGCGTACACCACTTTCCCACAGACCACCCCAATGAGGAGAATAAGGAGGTATGAAATGGAATTTAATTTTTTGACTAATAGCGTAGTTAATAATATCTTGTGAACAATTAGAGAGAAAATTTTGAAATTCATTCATGAGTCCTACAAAGTTTCTGCCGTTGTCTGAAAACATGTCAGACGGTTTACCACGGCGAGAAATAAATCGTTTGAGAGCTAATAAATACGCATCTGTTGACAAATCACCTACCAATTCTAAATTAACTGCGCGAGTAGTAAAACAAATGAAAATTGCAACATATGCCTTTATAATGCGTGCTCCCCGGCCCTTGCGATTTAAAATATAAACCGGACCCATATAATCGACTCCAGAACACATGAATGGAAATCCAGGGGTTACCCGTTGCACAGGAAGATTACCCATAAGAGGTGTTAGCGGTTTAGCACGAAACCGAGCGCATCTAGCACAATTATGTACGGTTTGTCTGGCAATATTTCTCCCACCAATCGGCCACCATACTTCTCTTATCGCATACAAGAGAGCCTGTGGCGCTGCGTGCAGTAGACGTTTGTGTTCCGCACGAAACAGTAGTATGGTAAATTGATGTTTGCCTGATAATAATATGGGATGTTTTTTGTCGTAAGTAAATGAAGTAGAATTACTAAGCCGACCACCTACTCTAATTAAATTATTTTTATCTAGAAATAAATTTAAATTTGATAAATTGTGCGAATTATTTAATTGATTATTTTTTATTAATGTAGTGTAAATGTCAAAGTAGGATTCCAATTGAACAAAATGTATTAACCTTTGTTGTGATTCACTCAACTCATCGACACTCAGTACACCTGTCCGTTTATTATTTTTAATTTGTGTGTTATTTATGAAGCGTAAAATATACGCACAGGCGCGTATCATGCGATTGAGTTGTGAGAATCTATGAAAAGGAAACCAACTCAAATCTTGTGTTATGTGATAAGTATGAACTGAATTTAATTTAACCTCGGGTAAATCAGACAACAGACGACTTGAACTGTCCTTATTCTCACTACAACAAATGGTTGATGAGTTATACTTTGAATCAATTAAAATAGGCGGTCCCTCCCACCATACATCATTAGTGTGTAGTGTATCTAAGTAGGCACCGCGGGATACTATGTCCGCTGGATTTTGGCTACCACATATATGCCGCCATGAATGATCGCGCGTTAACTCCTGTATTTCAACCGTCCTATTTTGTACAAATGGTTTTAACAAGTTAGGATTCATTCGTAACCAAGCGAGAACAATAGTCGAGTCGGTCCAAAAGACTATATTACTAAAATTACATCGTAGTGACTGTTTAATTTTTTCATATAGCCTAGCACCTAACAAAGCTCCGCAGAGCTCGAGACGCGGAATACTGGTGGGTTTTATAGGCGCGACCTTTCCTTTTGAACATAACAATCGGACTGTAATCTTATTATCGTTACCTATACTGCGCACGTATGCGCAAGCTCCATAAGCAACCTGTGATGCGTCTGTAAAAATATGCAATTCTATGCGTAATGAATTGTTACCTATTACGTGTCGCGGTATATTTATTTTCGTAAGTAATGGAATGCTATCAACAAATCGCAACCACTTGTGAGTGACGTCATTGGGTAGCGGTTCATCCCAGCCAACTTTCAATAACCATAGCCTTTGTAATAAAATCTTTGCGATAATTATAAAAGGACTAAGCATGCCTAACGGATCGAAAATTTTAGAAACCTTTGACAATATGACGCGTTTAGTTAATATTTCATAATCGATTTTGAATTCTGTACGAAAGTTAAATGTGTCAGATTGATTACACCAACCGAGGCCTAATGTTTTTGGTGCACATTATCGCCGAGTGATAACTCCTTTGAAGCGTGTGAGTTATGTGATGGTGTTGATGACGAGTCCTCTTTGTAGTTAAATATCCACTTGCGTAATGGAAAGCAACCTGTCATCAAAATCCGACTAATCTCGTTACATGTGTGAGTTAAATTATCTTTGCTGTCAGAGTTACCAGTAATTAAATCGTCTACATAAAAATCCTCGCGTATAATTCTACTAATGTTTGTATTTGTAGTTGTAGACGCTAATTCTTTCAAACACCTAACGCTAAGAAATGGGGCTGATGCTGTGCCGTATGTCACAGTGTTGAGTTGGTATATACCTATCTCATCAGTGGGATTTTCGCGCCACAATATTAATTGTAGGTCACGGTGATCGTTATGTACCAACACTTGACGATACATATTTTCGATGTCTGCGCATGCCACCCACCGATGTTGCCTAAAGCGTAATAATATGGCAGTTAGATCGCCTTGTATAGGTGCACCTACAAGTTGTAAATCGTTAAGCGATTTACCCGAGGTGGTACTTGCGCTTGCGTCAAATACAACTCGTAGTTTTGTTGTGGTACTATGGGCGCGAAAAACACCATGATGTGGCATTATGTAGTGTGGAGTATTGTATGTGTGTATTCGTGACATATGCCCCAGCTCAATGTATTCCCGCATAAATGAAATGTATAATTGTTTGTAATTAGGTGTGCGTTGTAATCGTTTCTCAAGTGCATAAAATCGATTCAGTGCCTGAGAGTATGATTCACCTAATAATTTAGGACTATCCTTGAAAGGTATGCGCACACAAACCTGCCTTCCTCTGTGCGCGTTGTGGTACTTGTAAAGCGTTCCTCACAAGCCCTTTGCTCAATACTGAGGACATTAGTGACCCTCGGTAATTCCTCAAGTTCCCAGAATTTACGCAACTGTGAGTCTAATGTGTGAGTAAAATTGCATGAAACTTGTGAGTATTTAGGAGTGTGCGTATATATAGGTCCCGAAATGATCCATCCTAATTTTGTGTTTTGTATAAATGGACCATTTTCAAGACGAATCTTTCCTTCATCAAGGAGATCCCAGAATAAATCGGCACCCAATAGGATGTCGACCGATTGTGACTCGAAATATTTTGCGTCCGCTAACTGTATATGAGAAGGAATGCAAATATTACTTATATTTATTGATGTTGATGGTAACTTTGTTGTTATATGTTGTAGCACTAAACATTGAATATTGGTAGTATAGGAGCTACACAGGGACCTGATATTGATGTTACAAGTCTGTGTGCACTGTGTAACGGCGCTGCCTACACCCTTTATGTTATAAGTGGACTGTATTAATTGTGCGTTTATTTTATTGCATAATGATTGTGTTATGAACGACCGCTGACTACCGCTATCGAGAAGCGCGCGGACGCTGATATAGTTTTTACTTTTGTCCCGTACGCCAAGAACTGCAGTAGATAGCAAGACCGGTTCACTATTAGTCGACACCTGTGCATGCGATTTGTTATCTAATGTGAATAACGTTAAAGCGTTATTTTGCGTGCCTCCATCAGTAACCTCTCGTTGCAAGTGTGTGTCATCTCGATGTAATAGTGTATTATGTTTACACGAACAGTGCCGACATGGACCGAATCGACAGTCAGTAGCCGAGTGTCCTAAGCGTAAACAGTTCTCGCATAATTTGTTTTGTGTGACTATTTTACATCTATCTAAAACTGATAGATTTAAAAACTGCTGGCATGAATATAATGGATGTTTGGAATGACACATAGGGCAGGATTTGTAGTGTGTAATTGTATTTTGTTGTGGTTTATTTGTGGACATGGAAGAAACGTTACAGTGTATCTTTTGCGACTGATTAATGTGTT